TTTAAAAATACAGCAGTTAGAATAAGGAGCTGTTTAGAGCTGAGTGGACTTGAAATTAAAAACGCGTTTTTCTCGAAATTGTGTTCTGCTAACTTTCCTCCATCCAAAACGATTTGACCGAATTACTTTAAATTTGTAGGGTATACTCAGCATATGTAATCGCATGGAGTGGACTATTATCAATCAAAAATTCACCAAATTTTATAGCAAAAAAACAAAACAAAAAAAAACGCAATGTTCGAAACTTTTTTGTTTTAAAATAGCCAATCAGTCGGATTTGTGGAGGAAATGCGAGCCTTTTTTTTCGAGGCGGGGGTCTTCAGAACACTAACTCATGTTCATAGCCTAGATTTATACAATACCATATATCAATTTAAAAGCACGAAATATATCAGTACAAAAATATTGTATATATTTATCGAAATCAGGTCCTGCGTACTTTTCACAATATTTCAAAAAAGTGGCCGCCCTGCAGAAACTTAAGAGACGGCTCAAACACTATCGTCCGATGAATTTAAATATATTTTATACACGTTCGTGTTGACTGGAGTTTAGTTAATAATTTTACTCACAACTATGAACTTTCAAAAGTAAATCTTGCTTTTATACGTGAAATACTGTACATCGTAACTAAGTAGACATTTCTTCCCAGAATCTTAACACAGCCATGCACAACAATACTTGCGAGTGCCTTTTCATTGGCGACTTCAGGAAGAAAAGATTATTAGATATACCACATACATACTCGTACATACACACATTCACACAGCACAAACGCTAACCCCAGAACTGCACATTTATAAGTTTAAGTTGGTTAGTTGGCACTCATAGACGTACCCATCACTTTGGGCTGGTATCTGCCTCACGTAACATTTTTGCAAAGCTCAACGCTTAAGGGCTTTAACTAGGCTGCTTATCTGTGTATGCGTGTAACTGTGTGCTTTGTGTTTTTGCTTGGGTGTGCTCGTTGAACTAACGGTTTTAACGGCAGCGGAGAATAAATGCATTCCAAACACTTATTCTTCTTGTGCAATTACTTTACTTTCGCTTTTCATGGTATGCTGCTCTCTTTACCGGGAAGTGACTTATTCCAACTTAACCAAGTATTCCTAAGAAGGTATTGTACTTCTTATCAATGTTTAAAGGTTTAAAATGCCAATGTATGGTTTCTACGATTAGGTAAGAAATAATTAAAAGTCGCTCAGTATTCTCTTAAAACTGGCTTACGTTTTATTTTTGGGCTTAAGTAGGAAATTAGTTTAATCCCTACTCGTGCATTTTCGTTCAAATATTTCTATAGCCAAATTCTATTGAACCATAATTTGCAACCATCTTCATAATATATTTTGAACTTTGTTATTTTTGATGCTGATACTTCTTTTATCAGATACATTCTATTCACTTAATAGACGACGACCCATTTCAACAAATTTTCTAATAGCGAGAGACTTTGACTTCAAATTGGTCAATTATATTTTAGAGAAAAAAATCTCTAGCAATCGTCTGCTCTTTTTGTCATTAGTCAGAACTAGTAGCTGAGAACCTTGCACACCCGGAATCGATTTTATGTATTACGGAAATATGAGGCGGATTTCTCTTTGAATTATGAAAAATCAATCCAATTTCTCCATCTCAATTCCCATAAGTTATAAAGTGAGATTATACAATAAAAAAAGTCGACGAGCATCTTTAACTGTGTAAGTTAGGTTCTTGAACCATTGTTTTAAGAAAGGTTATTAACGTTAATTTCATAAAGTGAAGAGAATACCAGTTGTTTGTAGCCAGATACAGTTGTTGTAAGGCAGATTTTGGATTGACTAAAATTTTACCCCGAAGTTTTTTTATTTGATGATATCCTACTATTAAAGGGCACTCATAATGTGACAGCCTAAAATTTTTTTTATACTCTCGCAACTTGTTGCTACAGAGTATAATAGTTTTGTTCACCTAACGGTTTTTTGTATCACCTAAAACTAATCGAGTTAGATATAAGGTTATATATATATATAAATGATCAGGATGAAGAGACGAGTTGAAATCCGGGTGACTGTCTGTCCGTTCGTCCGTGCAAGCTGTAACTTGAGTAAAAATTGAGATATCTTTATGAAACTTAGTACACATGTTTCTTGGTACCGTAAGACGGTTGGTATTGCAAAAGCGCGATAAACCAAGCACTAAACACGCCAGAGACATTAAATTTTATATCTGGGATTAGTCAGTGGGCGTGGCACAGCCCACTTTTGGGTGAAAACCCATATCTTGGAATCTGCTTAACCGATTTCAACCAAATTCGGTGCATAACTTTCTTTTTTTTTTTCTTTTCATATTTCTATACAATGGTGCGAAAATGGGCGAAATCGGACTACAACCACGCCTATTTCTCATATAACACCATTTTCAATTCCATCTGATTCTTTCACTTTCCACTATGCAAATCAAGCAAGAATGATTATATCGGGATAAAACTTTGCGTGAATAATACGTTTAAAGTATGCCACCTTGTGAACAAAAATTGTCTAAATCGAACCAAAACTGTTCAAGCCCCTAAGTACTGAATATGTGGACCCCAGTGCCTATAGTTGACCTTCTACCGAAAATATCGGTCAATCCACAAAGAAATCTCAAACGAGTATACCATTTGCTTTGCGAGAGTATAAAATGTTCGGTTACATCCTTAGCACTTCCTTACTTGTTCAGATTTTTTTTGTATAATATTTATTTTTATTTAGAATCTGTCTTATTATTAAAATTACAATAACTAAATTTACTGACAAATACAATAATGTTGAAGTGCATTAAAAAATAGGTTACAAAAATGAAAGTGAAATCAGTTGAATCGAAAGGGGAGATCTTCATTGTTAAATATTATCCAGTAGTTGAGAAAGGTAACGAGTACTAAATTCTTTTATAGTTTATTTTATAGTGGGATTTAATCACTGGGCGGTCAGCCACGAAGAAAATGTAGAGTACAGGCGCTGCCTTGAGGTACACCAGCGCTAATGAATCTCAGATCCGACTCAGCATCATGACACCTGACGTAGAACGTCCGATTATGCAAGTATAACTTTAGCAGCAGGTAGTAAGGCATGTGAAGTTTTTCCATTAACTTATATAATAGGCCTAGGCGCCAGACCTTGTCTAATGCTTGACGAACATCAAGGAAAATTGCAGAACAGTATTTACAATTTTCCATGGCATCAGCTATAAAGTGTTTTACTCTGTGGCATGGCTGAGTTGTGCCATGAAAGAGGCAAAAGTCTGCGAAAAACTATTATTTCAAATATTTTCGAAATAATTGCTAATAGGCTAATCCGTCGATATGAATTGACCAGATGCTCAGGTTTACCATCCTTCTGAATCAAAATTATCTTAGCATATTTCCATTGAGAAGGATTTGATCTCCTCCTGCCCTTCTACATCATCTATTTCTGCGATTGATCAATAATTCGTTAGGAATAAAGGTGTTTTGGAGATGTGTGGCAAACTCATCGACTATTCTGCATTAGTTCTGCACCAGAGACCTCTGCTGTTGATAATTGGTGAGCAGCTGGATATCGGCTTTTTCTTTTGTCTAGTCGCGTTGCAAATATTATTTTCTGGATCTCCCGGTTTGGCAGCAACCATATACACCTATAGGGACTTGTTGCGGAGTTTCCAGAGAACATCCTTTAACTCCTTTATAGCACGGTTCAGCTGTGTTTTGTCATACTGATTTCTACTGACTTGGTGTGCATACTGAAGACGTCTTTTCTCTCTCAGCTTTGTCTTTACTTCATTGGATCTGATATGCCTGTCGAGCTTTGTGTGGATCTAGCAACAGGTACTTGGGCAGCATTGTGCATGCTTCTGGTCAGGGCTTCTGCAGCATAGTCAATGTCTGCATCAGAGTAAATGGTCATATTGGGGTCCACATTGTTCCATAGCCATGTACGGTATTTTAACATGTTTGCCCCTTTGCTAAGAACACTTTTGGGAGGGCAACATGACCACAGCTATCTGCACCCAAAAAAAAAACAAAACTTTATGAAGAGTTTTAAAATTTTAAGGGTATATTTACACATATTTGGAGGATACTCAATACAATTTTTGAAGAAAAGAAACTAAATAAACCTAAAAAAAAGTCATCTACTGTTCTGAGTCCCCTCGATATTTACGTATGGATGTAAATGTGCTTATGTTCAACTAGAGACTAACAACTCACCGAACAACTAATCACCGTGGCCGCAAAGTGTGCGAGTGACCTTGCAGCAAACAGTGTGCAATCATAAACATGCAACAACAAACATATGACAATCAAGTCATCACAATATAAACCAAAAAATCAAACAAAAATACAAATGTCACACAACAATGGCAAGATTTGTTGTCATTGCCGTCCAGCTTCGTATGTGTGCGATTTAGTATATGCGTGTGTGTGTGTGTGTTTACATTAATTAGCTTGTTAGAATCACCGAAAATTGTCCGATTTTTAAATATCACAGCACAGCAATGATGATATAAACGATATCTAAGCAGAAGTGGTAGCTTAAAAAAACTACAGTTGCGTGCAGAATTATAAAACATAAACATATGTACGTACAACATAAACACATATATACATAAAAACTCTCCAGTTATCTCTAGATTTTCTTCATTAAAAAAAAATTTAAATGAAAAGAAAATTGTAAAAAATACTACTAATATATTGACACCCTAACCATTGTTGATAGGTAAAATTATGGGCTGTCTTTACTATTTTTATTTACGTCTGCTATTTTTTGTACGCCTTTCTTTTAGTAAGGCGTGAAAATTTCGGCAGCTTGCTATCATAATACATACACATGCATGTGCTTAGTAAGTTTGCTCGGTTTGTAGGTCGCATGAAATTAAACACTTTTAATAAACAACAAATACACTGGAAAAGTACTCTAACACTTTACAGCAATTTCCATAAGAACTTCTATATGCATTTAACACACTTAAACACAATTCATTTGCACACACGCACCCATACTGCTCACCTCTATTTTGCGACTGGCTTTCGGGGAAATGCACAGCAGCCGCAATGCTCTGAGATTCTGCCAAATCAACTATTTATCTGCATAAATGCTCCTATGCATTATGTTTCATAATATTTATGCGCCTATATGTAGACTATGTTTTGTGCTATTGAAACGAGCTGCTGCAGCATAAATCTGCCTTTAGGGGGTGTTCGTAGCGCTCAATTTCGTTGGTGTGTTACTATTTGCCTAATTTGTGTTCACCATATAAAAAAGCAAACTTAAAATCACTTATTTTCCATTTTCACCCACAAACACATTCACATAGACCTACATTTGTCACAGGACGCTCGCGTCTCGAGCGCATTTAACCGCTTTGCACGTGCACTCTATTCGATATCCCGTTACCAACTGAGCGTGTATACAGAGCGTGTCCGAAAAGTCATAGCTTACAAAGTGTTGTTTTTATTCGACAGCAAAAGAAGAATAAGAAGCAGCAGTAGCAATGGTCGCAAAGCAGGAAATGGTTATGAAAATGGCTCTACAGTGGCGCAGCCAAGTGTTGAAGCAGCGCAACAGTGACACAGTAGCCAAGTAGTAGTAGACCCATCAAACGAGCCAAAAACATTGGCGCCCAACCACCCACTCATACACATAATATGGTTGTCGTAACGCAAATCAAGTAAAATGAGAGTGAAATGGAGGTGAATTGAGAGTGAAAGCAGAATAATGACAGCTTGTGAACGCAGAGTTGCCGTTGTGTTATTAAAATAAATTGTTGTAAAATGAACTACTAATTATTTAGAAAGAGAACAGTAAGGGGTATAATTTTTTGATTAGTGTGTATTAGACTCATTCTTTCTAATTTATATGGGGGATGATTCGCATTATGTTAGAAATAATTTTGTTTTTAATAATTTTTTTTTCTTTGATGTAACAAAAACATATTTTTTGTAAAAATTCTGATAAACGTCAATTCCAGCCGAAACTTAAATTAAGTAAAAGTGTAAAAGTTTGCACAAGTAGCTGCCGGTTTAAGTTGAATAGAAGATATATACTATTTGGAAATTTTTGGAGTTAGTAATAAAAAAATAGGGTTTTTTTAAGAAAAAAGTTAAATAATGTGTAACGCGCTTTGAAATTCGCCAACCATTCAAACATCTTCTTGAAACCTGTTTCCTTCAAGTTCGAATCTTGAAATCTACTCTGAAACTTAAGTCACTCAATTGGTTTAACTATTTTAAGATTTAAGAAAAAGATCGTATTTTGAAATCTTTTTATAGAAAGCAAAACTGACGGTGCGATTTTCTGTATAAAAGATGTCATCGCCATAAGTTTAATCCAGTACTTTCTTAAATTTTTACTCACCAAAGTCTTATTCAATTCTCAAGCTATGAATAAGTCCTATGTCATATACTGGCGAGACGTGAACCTTCATATTTACTGTAAATAAATTTTCACATTTTCCTCTTTTTTTATATCGATAGTTTCGCTTCGTATTTCTCAAACATTAAAGCTTTTTTGCGCTGCAAGTATATGTGCTTATTTGTAATTTGAGTAAAAGTTTTTAAGGTCATTAAGTTTGTACCAAAACTTTGATGCTTTTAGAACTAAAAGCAAAACTTTTTTTAAGCTTAAAGTTCATACTTTCGTTTCCGTTTAAAAGAGCCTAGTTTGATGAAAAGCTCATGTCCAAGATTTTGCTTTCAATGGATATACGAATCGTATGATTCACACATACATTCTGTAAAGCAGCAAAGCAAGCTCTTTTGTATTTATACATTTGCAATAATAAGGTAAATATCATAAAGCATTACATATTCAGAACGAAAGCTTTTTAAATGGTATAAGTTAGTAATATCTAGCAGAGAAGATGATGGAGATTCTCATCTTTGGGAAATTCAGTATTCAACTTCCGGGGAGGGAAATGCAGATGCGGTAGTATCTTGATATCTATAAACCATTATGTATGTCAATTTCATACGCGGGAATTATTTTTATACTCTTGCAACATGTTGCTACAGAGAACAGTATAATCTTGATAATCCGGACAATTGAAAATCAAGCAGTGTCCGAGATATCGAACTGTCCGGATTAACGAAATGTATAAAAAACTCGGAAAAGATCTACCGTAACTGAACATTTTATACTTTCGCATCTTGGAAGGATCAAAGCTGGTTAAATACCTCTCATATCTAATTAATAATAATAATAAAATCTTCTCTCCGAATTTCAATACTCGACCTCACAGCTAAATAACAAGAAAGAAAGGGGCTAAGTTTGGGTGTAACCGAACATTTTATACCACAGATCACCGATATGTGCGGTAAAAAATCTGTAATATGCACTGAGGTCCACATAGGTATTTTAGGTCACTATTGTGAAAAATTTTATTGTTATAACTTCAATTGATGTTTGATTTATATATGGTAAAGTAAAAGAATCAGATGAAGTTTAAAAGTTTATTATACAGAAGTAGGCTTGTCGTGTTTGATAGAAATGTTCAAGTAGCCTCTGGCACGAAACTTGGTAGAAATTGATTAAATATCTCCTGAGGTATAGGACTTCATGTAAAGGTGGACAGTGCAATTTTTCTCCTTGTCTAATTTTCACACCTGATGTTGTCAAATTCAATGTTTGTGGCGCATTTATTCATCCGTTATATGGAGAGTGGGTGTGGTTATCATCTGATTTTACCAATTTTGGAAGATATGTACATTTAACCATTTAGAGGAAGGGGCAACATCCACTTTAATAAAATGTTTAGCCCACAAGTGTCTTTCCCTACTGTGATCCCTGTTCCAAATTACAGGTTTGTATCTTATTGTGGAGTTCAGTGATGATACTTAATAGGTTTTCATTTAGAAGCGTCATGTGGGCGTGGCAATGATCCGATTACGCCCATCTGCAATATCTCTCTTGGGTGCCAAGGGATATTTGTACCAAGTGTCATCAAATCATCTTAATTTCTACTCAATTTATTTAATTCCACTTCAAAAATTTGTTTTATACATTTAATGAACATCTTTAATTTTTTTTCAAAGAATTTTGTAATATTTTCTTAACTGCTGCTGCCGAGATCGATTTCTTCATCATCGGAGTTGGCCTGATATATCAGATATTTCCGTTGAGTTATTGGGATGCAACATAGCAAGAGGAATATCAGCATCTGAGTCCCATTCTGGAAGCATTTTTTAAGGACACCTCCATCTACGTTTGATCCCTGAAAAGCCACGTCTTTCAAGGAAAAGTTTTTTAATGATTCCGTTAAGTTATTTTCTGAACTGGACAAAAGATGAAATAAAATACTTTTACCATCATTCATTTTGACAATTCGAATGGCATTCTAGTCCATAGGCTGGATCAGAGTTAAGCATATTCTAACGCTAGCTGCACTTTCTTAGACGCCCTTGGATTTTTGGCTTTTCCCATCATCAGTAATTTAAGTTTATGCAGTAAACCAGACGAGCAACCCTTTCTTTACCAATTTTGCAACCATGTGCGGATTTTTTAGTATACAACGCAAAAGGCCCATTTCTGCAATTTCTTGCATAGTTTTTCTCTAAACGGTTGCACAGCAACCGGATCATTCGATAGTTTCTTGCCAGATACTTTCAGAGATTTTATTCCATATCATGAACGAACATTGTAAAGCCAACCGTTAATAGCCATAAGTTCAGTGTTTGGTTCATAAGCTTAGTAGCTTAGTCTTTTATTTCAAGATCTCGGATGAAATTGGTGCATTCTTTTGCCGTTTTATTATAAACCAATTGTTCAGGCATTCTTCCATCAGTTGGGATTCAGCAGACCGCATAGCATTGCGTTTACCAAGACCGCTTTCGGTCGTAGCAATGTAACTGCGAGAAATACAACTAAATTTCAAGAACCAATTCTAAATATCCTAATAGTCTTACTTCTCGAGTTTTAACCAATTCAAGTTTATGTCGGAATATGTAGATCTGCCAACATTGTACTCTTTTGCAAGCTGACGAAGTCATTTTCTCTATTTAATTTATTCAAGACTTATTTTTTCTGGTCAATTGTTAGAAATATATGGTTTTTTTTTGTGTAAACACTGTTTAATTTAAATTAAATAATACATAAATTAACACCACTTTAAATTCACAAATTAGAACAGTTTTGTTTCTCTCTCTGTTTTTTCTTTTCGTTCGAGAAAAAATAGAACGCACGGTTAGCTGGCATTATCTACCTCATGTGTAAGAAAGTTTTCATAAAAATTTCCAGTTTACTTATAAAAGTATACATTCAAATTAAAAACGGGGAATTCTCGGAAAATAACAGACGAAAAGAAAATAGAATAAATAGATAGATATAGATAGATAGACTGTCCGAATTATAGATTCAACAATGAAAAGCAATTCAGTGTCCGGATTTCCGCTATCGTTCAGATTAGAGAGTGTCCGAATTATCGAGATTGTACTGTATATTAAATTTTGTTCACTTAAAGGTTGTTTGCATTTCCTAAAGCTAATCGAGATATATATATGTATAAATAATCAAGATGACGAGAATAATTGAATTCCGAGTAACTGTCTGTGCGTCCTTCTGCCAAAAAATTGGACAATGGGCGTGGCACTGCTCACCTTTTGGTACAATCCTATATCTCAGGATATACTGAACCAATTTCAATTAAATAGATGTGTCAGGTTATCCAAACATTTCTATCACACAGTGATAGAATGGTCGAAATATTCTAAATCTTATCTGATTCTTTCACCAGTATACAAATCAAACAGCAATGAACTGAATCGAATAAAACCCAAATATGTGGACCCTAGTTCATATCGCTGATTTTTTACCGAATATGTCGATCAATCTGTGAGGTCTAGTATTGAAATTTGAGTAGTTTTTGTGATGAAAGCATGCCATTGTGGCAAGAATAGGTAAAATCGGGTCAATACTTCTCTCTCCCTCCATATATTTAATATAAATAACATACGGTATTTTCGAAATTCTAGTTGACTTTACACTGCATTTATCGGTTTCTTAATAACAGTGTATCCTCTTGTGTAAAATGGAAGAAATCAGGGCAATATATCCATTAGCCCCCATATACAAAATATATGGATTTTCAAACATTCGCATAGCTTATATCTTGGTCAATCATTGAGGTTTCTTGCTGAAATTCAGAAAGCCTCTACTTCTGGAAATGATATACAGCAATACAAATACTGAATAAAATCAGATCAAAATATTCCCTAGCCCCCATATACCTTATATAAGAAAATTTATAAGAATTTAATATACCGTATTGATCGATATATGTCAAAATGTAAGATATCTTAGCAAAATTAAGTGAAAGTGTAATGCTGTAAATGTTCGATATCGATATACTTAAACACAAGGTGTTGCAACACCTGGAAGTATTTCCCCGCCTTTGATATTTTCACAGAGTA